GTCCTTCTTGAGCATGTGATCAGCTGGTTCTGGTTGTCAGCAGCAAACTGGTTGATCCACTCTGAGAAGGTGCTATTTAAGAGACTGAGCTGAATACAGCACCTCAGACTGAGGAAGTCCTCAGGATGAGAGACGAAATGTTTCTACATTTTTTTGCTTTGTTTTGTTTTTTGTTTTTTTGAATGTCCAGAGGACCAGATTGAACTTTTTTGGATTATTTGTAAACAGTTTGTATAATTTGTTTGTTGTTGTCCTTTTCGGACACACAATCATTTAGTATCTTCTTTATTTTTGATCATGACACATTTTTATCTCTGTTGTTTGTTGTCTTGTTGTTTGTGTGTTTTTGTTTACCACTATTTAGTGTTTACAAGCCTCCGTTTTAAAATCTCTTTAGTTCTCTCATCGTTTACAACAAAACATTTATAACTTCTATTAAGATGTTTGTAAAATGAGTTCACATGAGTGTGTTTGTTCGTTTGTTGCGCATCTTTTGTTTATTTCCAAAAAACACAAGTTCCATTTGTTCTCTGTAGAAGTTTTCCTCCTTCAGTTTGTCACAGAGAACTTCAGATGATTAATCTACAGGAGCAGCAGAAACATCTGTTCATGTAAACAGCTGCTTCTTCAGAACCGAGCTGAGCTCCATGTTGGACCTCAGAACGGTTCTGATGAGAGCTCATTGATCTGTCAGAGGTTAGAGTCACTCACCGCTCATGGCGTGTCGTTCCTCCTCTGCAGGCTGGTCCAGTGTTCTGGTTCCCTCTCAGAACCGGTCTACTGGTGGGGGAGGTGCCTTCATCTGAACTGTTCCCTGGAAGGAGGCGTGCACATGTTCATGGACCAGGCACAAAGCCAGAACCATGCTCACTGATTCTGACTCGGGCTCACCTGAGGTCCAGGCTCCTGAGAACCAGAGTTGAGCTTCTTGCTGATCTCAGACACATCAGCAGAAATATTTGAGTTAAAAATAACTCTGAGGCTTCACAGCAGCCCTGCAGGACACCAGAGTCCAATAAATCCAACATGTTTTAGTTAATGTTGACCTCAAGTGGAGGACTGAGTAAACCACAGAGACACCAAAAATAGGCCTTTATTTCTGTTTGATCTGAGTCAACAGTTCATGATTCAGTTTTATCTGAGTCAGTAAATCATGATTCAGTTTTAT